GTCGCGTCCCGATGGGACGCGATAAATTGATCCCCGAGAGGTCGATTTCTACCCGCCGATTCAGGCGGGTAGTGTAGACCTAGCCTCAGCCAATGTGGTAAAAGCATTGGGGTTTATTAGCTGGGGGGGGGGAGGGATAGCTCAGTGGTTTGAGCATTGGCCTGCTAAACCCAGGGTTATGAGTTCAATCCTTGAGGGGGCCACTTGGGGATCTGGGGCAAAATCAGTACTTGGTCCTGCTAGTGAAGGCAGGGGGCTGGACTTAATGACCTTTCAAGGTCCCTTCCTGCTCTATGAGATGGGATATTATTATTATAGCTGTCTGCAGCACAGAGTAGACTGTCCTTGATTAGCACAGAGAACAGCTGGGAGAGCTACAAGAGGTGGCTAGGCTGAGGAGCATCCATGCCCACAAGGAATTCCTTGAGAGTATTCATATGAAGACCTCCAAGGCCGTGGAAGCTCTCCAGCTACAGAGGACTGCTGTCACACCACCGAGGGAGAAGGATGTGGCTCTGTCACAGGGAGGACACTGGCAGCTGGTTACTTCTGTTCAGCAGGGCAAGGCTAGGAGCCCCTGGGAGCAGAGAACCAGAGATGCCCAAGGTCCCACGGGAAGAGTGTAGTACAGCTGGGCACTGAACCCTGGTCTCACAAGGCCTCGTGCACTAACCACTGGACCATGCTGCCTTTCTGTCTTAGTAGCCCATGAGCTTTGGAAAATCCCACCAAGTGCATCTTCAGTGCCTGGTACCTTTACAAATCTGACCCTCCTTTGCTGCTAGGAGGTTCTGGTCCCTGGTCCGCAGTGGGAGCTGGGCGATTGTTCTTGCTTTAATCTGAGCTCAGCTGCTGAAATCTTTCTTTTTGGTCACTTTTCGGGTTTGCTGATACATGGCCTGGCTTTTGAGCTGTTCTCCCCAAAGCTCAGGGTGACGGCACCGTTGCTGGTGCGTGGCTAACCCCACGGGCGCAGGGATGTGCACCCGGAGCCACAGTATGAACCCCTGCCTCATGCTGGTGAGTGTTTCCTCGTATCAGGATCACCCTCTGGCCCTAGCAGGACGCTGGGGCTACATGCTTGTGCCCTCTAAGGCTAGGAATGCCAGAATGAAGGCTGCATGCACACCCTTAACTCTGCCCCCCGTGTGTGCCTGCTTCATTTCAGTGCAGGGGTTCCCCAGGGCCTGTGTCTCTGGGGACACAATGCACTGGGAGAGCCCAGCTGAGACGCCTTCTCTGCCTCCGGAGCAGGTTTGTTTACACACGGCATCTATAGCAACAAATTGTGCTGGCTGCCTACTGCTTTCTTGCTCCCTGGAGGGTTGCTCCCATCCAGTCCTCACTGGCAAGCTCCTTCCAGACGGGGGCTGCGCCTTCACCATGAATTTGGGGGCAGCTGAGGCCTGGGGGGAGACTCCCCCACGGGTGCAGATCATCCAACAGCCGGTAAGTAAATCCCGGAGACCGAGCCGCAGATTGAGGTCTTGCTGAGTTGCCCATGCATGGCTGGCTGGCACTGCCTGGCCCCAGGGACTGGGCAGCTATGGGGGAACCAGGTCCCGATTCCACAGGCTGGGCTTCCCTTTACCATGGTGAGAGACGTTCAGGGCACTGAGTTTCTAGCTGTTCCTCCATTCCTCTGCCAGGACTGCTCATGACAGCGTCCGCCCTCAGGAGACCTGGGCTCTCTGACGGGGCCAGGGCTGGGGAGGAGAATAGGGTGAGACAAGGGGGGCCGGGTGTGGGGTAATCAGGGGAGGGACTGGGATGAGGTGTGGGGGGGTTGGTGAGTTGGGGTGGGAGTGAGCGGGCCAGGAGTGGGGGGCACTGGAGCGAGGTGAGGGTGGAAGTAGGTTACCACCTTTGAAATGCAAAAACACCAGCACCCACCCCCACAAGGCAAACCCGCCACAACCCCAACCAACCACAAGGCAACTCCGCAACCCCTTGCAACAGCCACTTTATAGTGTTTAGAGAGAGAACACCCATAGAGAAGACTGACGACATCCCAGGTCCCCTCACTCTTGTGTGTTGGTGGGCAGACAGCGGCTGTGTTTTCAGTAGTTTTGATCTGTTATCGCGTAAACTGCGGCAGTGGGAGTGCTGCAGCGTCTCTGGCAGGACACAGACACTTTGACCATTAGCTAGCCCCGTGCAGTGTGACAAACGCAAATCTTTAGACACACATGGAAAAAAACCCCAGCAGATTAAATTACTTTTCTGGCAACAGCAAATCCATAAAAAAATGGTCAGGCCGGTCAAATACCAGCCAGGTGGTAAGCCCAGATGGGAGTTGGGGGTTGGGGTGAGGTGAGGCTGGGAGTCGGGTGGAATTGGGGTGAGGGAGGACAAGGGGCAGGTGGGATTGGGGTGAGGGGGGAGTTGGGATGAGGTGGGATGAGGGGGGTTGGGATTGGGGTGAGGGAGAACGAGGGGGGGTTGGGATTGGGGTGAGGGGGGTTGGGATGAGGTGGGAGTGGG